GTCCTTGGTTCTCAACAGGCGGGATGGTGTCCGTGAGAGGTTACTGGGAGTTCCCAAGGACCCGAGGACACCGCCTCCCCCGCCCTTTGCACACAGCTTGGAGCTGAGGGCTTGGGTCACCACCACCTGGGTTTGGGGTTGGGGGACTGAACTCACAGAGCTGCAAGCCCTTCTGCCTTTTCCAGTTGGCGAGAGGGCCGCAGTGCCCGTGTGGGGCTAAAGGACCCTCCCCAGGGTCTGCTCCTTCCAGCACAGCCCAGCCTGGCTACCGCGGCGTGGCAACGGGGCCCTGGGGACGGCAGCCCTGGGGACGGCAGCGCGCCACCACCGGAATGGTTTCCAGGGCAGGCTCCGGCCTGAGGCGGCGTCCCGAAAACTTGCCTCAGGAGCTTCCGTGCCAAAGCCAGGGCCTGCCCCAACCCCTGGGTGCTCTAAACGAGGGCGCTGCCCTCTCTGGCTTTGAACAGGTGCCTCCTGAACACGGGGGGACATGGTCTCATGGTAATCGTGAGAGCGTGGTCTTTCCCCCATACCGGAGGTGGGGAAACTGAGGCTCACGGAGGCCATGGGCATAGCTCCCTGGTTTTCTGTCTCTGGACACCCCCCCCCAAAGGTCCTGGGTGTCCCCCACCCCATAGGGACAGAGACGCTCCATACGCCCTTTCACATGTAAGGAGGCCGGCGTGGGGAGTCTCTGGTCACGGAGGCTTTAAGTCGAGGGACTGAGAGTTGGGACTAAAAGAGGGAGTCTCTCCTACAACAGAGGGTGCCGGGTGGCCGGTGGGGGCTGGAAGTGACTTCCAAGAGAGCCAATAGCGAGGCTCAGCAGGTGTGCCCAAGGATGCCCAGCCACAGATGGGAGGGCCAGGGCATGGCCAGGAGGAACCCGGGTGCCTAGGCTAGGTGAGGTGGGCCCCAGGCCGAGCCTGCACGGGGCAGTCTGAGCCCAGTGTCTGGGCTGAAATGCTCCAAGTCCGGTTTCGCCACCGCCGGCTGGGAGGAGCGCGATCCCAAAAGCCTGGACATTGAGCAGAGCTCCCCTCACTCCGGGGGAGGCCAGGGCTGCCACTCTACTTGTCCCCTTTCCCCTGGGAACACCCCAAGCCCGTCCCCGAGGCCGGTGACCTCTCAGGCCTGGCCCGGCAGCCTCTTGCCTCCCCATGATGGCTGCTGCATCGCAGCAGTGGGCCCAGAGCTTCTGGTCCAGCTTCTCGTGGTATGCTGGAGAAGAGAGGTTCACGGCAGCCCCCGTCCAGCACTTTCCCAGCAGAGGGTGGCTGACAGCCACCCTTCCACTCCCCTGCTCCAGACTCCTGAGGCCTCTGGCTGCTCCGGGTCACCTGTCACCCCTCTCCAGCCAGCTGTCCTCAGAGGGCTTTGCCTGGGTTCTGGGAACACACGGACGGCTCCGGTGTGGCCCTGTTGGGGAGACAGGCCTGAGGAAGGAGGATGGTGTCTCGGGACAGGAGGATGAGTGGCACTGGGGGCCTCAGGGAGGGCCACCTGCAAGGGGAGGCGGAGGACACGTTCCAGGGGGAACAGCGTGAGCAGAGGCCCAGAGGTGTGAAGGCCGTGCACCCCTCCCTGCACCCCTGCTCGTCCCCGGGGCAGCGGGGCCGTGGGAATGTCACCCCTCCCTGCACCCCTGCTTGTCCCCCGGACAGCGGGGCCGTGGGAATGTCCCCCTGTCGCCCTGCAGGTGGAGCCCCCCGAGCTCCCAGAGGACCTACGGCACTGGATTGCCTACAACGAGGCCAGCAGCCAGCTGCTCAGGGCTGAGAGCGGCCTCAGTGATGTCGTCAAGGACCAATGACCACCGCACCCTGCCCGCCAGCCTCAACGTGGGGGCGCTTGCCTGCCGGTCCCTGCCTGCCAGGGCCAGAGGGTGCGGGATGGACCCGCCAGGCCCACGTCTCCCAGCTGGAGCGGTCCACGACCAGCCCTGTCGGCCCAGCACCGCCCCAGCCCGCTCAGGCCTCCCCCTCCGCCCATTACTGATGTCCCCCTCCCCCATACTGTGCTGGGCACGGGATGGGGGTGACTCAGATGCCCTGACACAGCTCTGCCCTCAGGGTGGAGGTGACGGGAAAAGTGGGAGGCCCAGGACCCTTAGGGCGTGGGCTTTGGGGGGTGGGAGTTTGGCCCCACCCTGTGGGTGAAGCCAGTCTGGGGCCCCATGGTGTAGGTCAGAGCCGCCGGGGCCCCAGAGCTGCCTCCTTCCACCCTGTCCCGGAACCCCGCCGCCAGCTGGAGCAGGAGCGCAGGGATGCCCCCCGATTCCTTGCCTGCCCCCCACGCTGATCTCTGCCTTACAGCTGCAATGTTTCTGTTTTATTTAAAGAAACCCCAAGATTAAAGGGTTCTTAATGTCAGTGTGCTGGGGGAAGACCTCATTTCTGAAGCCCCCGCCCCCCAGGGAAGCAGCGGGCCCCCACAGGTGTTTTCTGGTGTGGGGGCTGGCTAGGCTTCTCGGGGTCCCACGAACTTAGGGACTAGGTGGGCAGGGCAGGACTGGCCCCTCTTGCACAGAGCATGGGACCGAGGCCAGGAAGGATTTGCCCCACTCCCCCTGCAGACCCCGGTGCTCTCCTTGTCCTCGGCTCTTGGGGTTTGCTGTCCCGCGTCCCAGTCTGCGGGTGGCTGGTGCAAGTTTCTGGTTTGGTCCCAGGGTCCAGTCCGTGGTCCTCCAGAGTTGGGGAGGCTAGGCCTCAGACTCTGGGGTTGCTGGGGCGGGGAAGTGGGACAGCAGGTGGAGCAGCACAGGGGCCCTTCTGCAAGCCCCTCAAAGAGGACAGAAAGCGTGGCCCCCGGGATAGAAGACAGTTGAGCGATGGCACGGGCCACGTTGTGCTCTGACCACTTGCTCAGGAGGGGCCCAGAAAAGAACGGGCAGTCGGAAAAGCTGGGTTTGCAACACGGCATTTGAAGATGGGGGAGCGATGCGGCCCGGCTGAGGTCACGTGGCTGGCGAGGCCGGGCCTCCCACCTGCTTGAGCAGCCCGCGGCCCGCGGCCCGCGAGGGTGTTTGGGCTTCTGCAGGGAGTGAAGGACCGGGGACATCCTGGGGCGGGGGAACTTGGGGGGTCCATACAGGTGTCAGGACAGATTCCCCACGGGGACTGTGGACGGGAAGCTGCGCACAGTGGGTCTGGGTCCCAGCAGGTCCGTCCGGTGGTGGTGAGTTGCCAGCTGGCATCCCGGAGCAGGGCAGGGGCTGGGGAGGCAGGACGGGTCTGTGTGTCTGTGTGAGGTGTTCAAGGTGGTGGGGGCGTCTGGGCTGGACGTCCCTGTGTCCCGGCGGCGCAGTAGTTTCTTTGTGCACTCAAGGGAGATACACCCCAGCCAGATGGGAGCAGAGGGGAGGGGAGGCTCCCTCCTGCTCTTTCTGTTTGGAGAAGGTCTGACCACAGAGGGGTCCTTGCTGACCAGGGGACAGGCGTCCAGGGCACAGGGCTGGCCAAGGTGGGGCTTGGGCTGCCCCACCCTCCCCGCCTAGGAACCGGATGACCTTGTGGGGGGGGGGTTATCTCTCCTCTTTCTGCGTTCTTTGTGACCCCACACACCACCTCCTCGATCCTCAGGCTCCAAGTGTCGACAGCTGGTGCGGCCACCCCAGGGCCAGCCCTCCCGGGGCCCCACCTGTGGCCTCCCCAGCTCCTGGGGGTGGGGGGCGGGACACAGGGATGTGCAGATCTGACCTCAGGTGTCCTCAGGGCTACAGACAGAGCAAGGGCTTTCCTTGGGCTCAGGTCACTTGGCAACTCCCGCCAGGGGAGGGCAGGGTAGCCCCGTGCTTAGGTGGTGATGGGGCAGGGGTGCCCTCTGTTTGCCAGGCTGGCACTGTGTGAAGACCCCGCGGGTGCGCCTGGCCGGCCACCTGCTTCCTCCAGGGATGGGGTGGCTGTGGAGCCGGGTGCGCAGGCTCACCGCCCCCCTCCCCGCACCTTGAAGAGCTCAGAAGCCATATCCTTGCTGCCCACTGGAAGCTGAGGCCAAGAAAGGGCTGTAGTGATGTCTCACTTTGTCCCCGTGGCCCCCAAGGGGCCCGGGCCCCTTGCCTCCAAATCCCGGGCCCGGTAGAGACTCTCTGGAAGCCTGGCCACAATGCGGAGTCTGGAAAGTGCCCAAGCCAGAGGGCAGCGAGGGGAACTGGGGCCTGGAGAGGGGCAGTGACACCCTGGGGTCATTCAGGCCCCAAGGCTGTCGATGTGCAGTGTACTGGATGTGTCTCCTGCCTCCACCTCTGCACAGCGCTGCCGAGCCAGGCCGTGGCCCGCGGGTGGGGGGCAGGCCTCAGGAGGGGGAAGCAGGGGTCTGAGGTTCGGCTGCGGCCGAGGCTGCTGCTGCCCGGCTGGCTGGCTGGGGGCGTGGCAGGGAGCCCAGCACTGGCCCTGGGTGTCTGGGATGAGCTGGCACGTCTTCAGTGCTCCACGGGCATGGTCTCTCACTCCAGCTGTCCCCCGGGGCCAAGGTCATGGTACGCCCAATGTGGGGGGGCGGGGTGACTGAAGCGCGGGAGATGTGTGGGCGTCAGCTGGCCCAGAGGCACCCCACGTGCACTTGGGAAGGCCTGGGCCGATGGGGCAGGCAGCCTGTGCCCCCCCTGTGCCCTCTGCCCAGTGTCCCCTGCTGCGGCTGCAGCACCCCCGTGCCGGACGTGTGGAGCGAGACGTACCCACTCTTGACCTCAGCTTCCCTTCCACCCAGGGGGCAGGGGTGGGGGCGATGCCCCCGGGGTTTCGGGGGAGATTCTGGGGGTGGGGACAGATCTGCCTTGGGCTAGGGAGCCTGTCCTGGTCTCCGGGGCCGTGGGACTGGTTTGCAGGAAGGCCGGCCCAGGATGCGTTTGTCCTCCCAAGCCTCCGTTTCCCCTTCTGTGAAATGAGTCCAAACGGCCCTGGATGAGAAAAGGGCCAGGTGCCCAGAATGGGCCCGACTCAGCTCAGCTCCCCCGGAGGCCAGCTCCGGGGGCTCTCGGCACCCGGGAAGGAAAGAGGTCGTTTCTGCCCTGACTTTGTTTATTTTCTGCAAGTGTGGGGGGTGGCGGGCCGGGAGGCCCCTGGCAAGGCTCTCACCCCTTGAGTCCCATGATTAACCGGAAGCTTCTGGAAGCGTGCGGCTACGGGTGGCCTCTGGTGGTGGCAGGCCCTTCAGGGAAGGAGTGGGGCCCCCAGCGGGGCCAGGGCCCTGACGCCGAGCCTGGAGGCCTGCACGGAGTTGCACAGATCGCGGAAACAGCAGTAGACAGCGCGGGTGCTCCCCATGCTGTCGGGGTCGGTGGCAAAGCAGGAGTTGGAGCAGGACCGGGTCACCAGGGGCATCTGGTTGAAGGGGTACTCTGCCAGGGCGGGCAGGTGTCAGCGCCTGCTCCGCCACGGCCCGGTGCCCTCCCCGGCTGCCCCGACCTCCACGCCCTTGACCCTGCGGCCCCCAAACTGATGGCTGGGCCCGGAAGCCGGCCGTGCTCCTGTCCCAGCCCTGAGGTGGGAGCCTGGGGCCCCGGGGCCGATGCCGCCCTCGTGCGGCACCACAGAGGCAGGCCGTGGGGGCTCTGCCTCGGGGCCCCACCCCCAGTCCCGAGGGCCTTCTGGGGGAAGGTGACCACTGCGGCCCCCCCGGGCCTGTTGTGGGCCAGACTCACCGGCCTCCATCAGCACCAGCGTAGTCATACAGGCCGTGGCCTCTGGTTTGCAGCGAGTGATGTTCTTGCATAAAGGAATGGCCGTGGGCTGCTCACATGTAAAGCATCTGAAGGCCTCACCTGGGCGAGGGATGGGGCAGACGTCGTCGCCTGGCCTTGAGACCCATCTGGGAGGAGGCCACGTATGGTCTAACCCCTGGGCCGTACCCCACGTGCCCCCTGGCGTGTCTCCCTTGCCATCCCTGTTGGGGCACGCGGCTCGCCTCGCCGCGACCCTGCAAGGCCCGGGGCTCCGACCCGTGGACTTGAACGCCGCATTCCTCTGTTGTGCCTTGGTTTTCCCGCCTGGAGAGTAGGGCTTCGAAGCCCGCCCCGAGCGAAGGCTCTAGGATCCAGGAGGCTCATTTAGGGGGAGGGAGATGAGCCCAGTGGGGGGTGTCGGAGGCCCCCCTCCCCGCAGAGGAGGCACCCACTCACCAGCGTGCAGGCAGGAGGCTGCAAGCAGAAGCCAGAGCAGAGCCCCGCACCGGGCCATCCGCCCCATCTGCCGTGCTCGGCAGCGGGGAGCGGCCGCCTCTGTGGGCACTTATACCCTGCCCTCTCTGTGGTTCCTGCCAGGTGGTGGCGGGAGCGTGTGAGTCAGCAGGGTGGTGCGGGACAGGGCGGAGGTGGGAGGCGGCACAGCGGGTGGGCGGGCCAATCATTCACAGGCCGTGGGGACCGGGACCCCTCTTCGCTCTAGCCACCTGGTGCTGGCCCACAAGCACCACACAGGTGCTGAGCCCCCTGTGGCCCAGACTCAGGTGTATGTCACGCCCAACCAGGGCCAAGGCCAGTGTCCTTCACACCCAGGTGTCCCTCTCCCTGGCGTAGGTGCCCACCAGACCAGAGGTCCGGAGGGAGTGGGGAGTCAGGCCGCGTGCAGAGGAGGGTGAGTGCCTGCCTGGTAAGGTGTAGGGACCGTGTCAGGTCGGATGGTCTGGGCCCCCCAGGCTCCTCCCAGGCTGATGGGTGTGGGGCTCCAGAGAGTCCCCTCAATCACTGCCAGCCCCTTCCCTGCAAATGACCTTTAGACCTAGCCTGGGCTTCCCTCAGTTTTAGGCCCCAGACAGCAGGGCTCTGCCCACCCCTCAGCGTCCCCGCCCCCGCTTGGCCTGCCAGCCTCCTTCCCTGCCCACTCCCCACCGCAAATCTTCCCATACCCACACCTTTGCCTGTGCTCGGCCTCTCGGCGGGCACCCTCTCTGGTCTCCCAATCCCAGCCCCACATCTTCCACATGCTCTGAGGCCCACTGAGCTGCCTCGTCCATAGGTCTTCCTGGTGTTCCAGCCTCTCTGGTTTCTCAGCCCTCTGAGGACCTAATGGATGGATGGACAGGTGGATGGATGGGTGAATAGATGGCTGGGTAGACGGGTGGGTGGGTGGGTGGATGTGTAGATGGTTGAGTGAGTGGATGGATGGATGGATGGATGGATGGATGGATGGATGTGTAGAAAGATGAGTGGATGGACAGGTGGATGGATGGATGAGTAGATGGGTGGGTAGATGGATGGATGGGTGGATGTGTAGACGGACGAGTGGATGGACAGGTGGATGGATGGATGAGTAGATGGGTGGGTAGATGGATGGATGGGTGGATGTGTAGATAGATGGGTGG